CCTGCCAAATGCTGGAAAAAACGCCGACTTAAGGCTAAACTGGGACTTTTTTAACTGACTTATCCTAGGAGTTCTAGGACTCTTTTGACGACATTTTGCTCGTCATATTTGTGACTACATAAAATTTGACTACATAAATTTTGTTGGAAATGCAAAAGATTCAACAAGCAACACGTAGTCACAACTGCAGTAAGCATGGCAATAATAAACTCATCACAGCAGTTGGTTTAAATGAAATATTGAGTGAAAAAAATTAGATACACACGCGAAAAACCAGCCTACTTGCATCTACAACTAGAAAGTTCTCAAAAAAAAAAAAAGCGCGCGGTAAACCCCTTTAAAACAATTCATTCATGTTAAAAATACACGCGAAAGAATCTATCTGCAAAAAAATGAGAAGAATTGTGTGATCCTAACATCCTCAATTCTCAAGAAAAAGTAAAGAAAGCAGTAATTGAGGAAATCAGTCCCAACGTCACATTTTAGTGAATATCTGGACTACGGCTCCAAGGACCAACATAAGACAGCAAAAGCAGGTAAGCATAACTCTGCGGAAATCTAAAGATGTCAAGAAATCCACAGTTTCCCAAAAATAAGCTAGGTAAACATCGCTTAGTTTGATCTTAAGCGAGCATTTTTGTAAGTTGCTACCCGATCGCATCACTACGAAATTGGTTCCGCCGCAAAAGTACGGCAAATTAGGAATGACCGCGCCGATATATAGTTGTGACTTTTCTGCTCTTCAGCGGAAAAGCTAAGTTATGAAAACTTGTTTCTAAAAACTACAAATTACAGGACTAACACTTAAAGTCAAATCTCCCCTCACCAAAATAGAATTATGATCCGGAAAAGAGCACCTGCGCAAAATTTTTGATACATAAGGAAACCAACAAATTTAGTATATTAATTTTACTTTGAAAAATCATAAAATATCAAAGTTTTGCCTTTGCCCTTTCTTTTATAAACTATTGACATGTTTGTTACTATATATATTTCATTATAGGTATGCGCTAGAAGTTAAGTAAGAGCTTGCCTAAGCAAAGTCAGTAACTGTTAGGTTAAGCAGTGAAAGTCCGTGAGCTATTGCAAAGCACTTCATTTAATCAATGTTTATGTGCTTATGCCTCATGTCACACTAACGGACTAAACTAGACATAGTCAAAAAAGAAGAAATTTAGAGAAAAACGATCCATTTAATGAGGCGAAGTATTCACCATATGTCAGAAGCCAACTGGCAACTGGCTGCTGTGGATATGCAGAGAAAAATAGAAGACCAAAACGGTAATACTATTGTTAATAATGCGCGCTCGTGTCTTAAGTCACTGGCACGGACGGAATCGTTTGTTTCGACTAAACTCTAAAAATTTCGATTGCAATTCGTAGAAGTAGGCAGATGTCGACTGGCAACTAGCAGTCTTTGCTATCAAGTGTAAGTTTAATTTGAAGGTCAGTTATGGTAGGGTTTTGTTAGAAGAAGAATAGGTGAGAAGTTCAACCGTTGTTGCACTGAGACTGTAAAGTTCAGATGTAAATCAGCCACGGTTTTAGAAAGCTGTTTAACTTTTCATCTAGATATCTGGATATTTATTAGTGCATTCAGCATTTCCTGTGCTTCAAATATCTATGAGAAGTATACAGATCTTAACATATTTTTTTGATCACGGTGATTAGATGTTGCGAGGTGGCTTTTAGCAATTTTTAAAGAATAAGTAAAGAGTTAAAAAACTATAAGAACGACCTTAAAGTGTAAGGAGGCCAGTTGGCAAACGTTTTAGGTCTCCGTTTGCTTTTTCCATGAAATGTTTGTATTTTGCCACGTTTGTCGGTAAAAGCAAATATACCACACCTGCTTGGATGCTAGAAACAGCAAATCCTCGGACAATTGGCTGGCAAACAAAAAAACTACTGTTCTTATAAGAATTCTAATTAAAACGATGGAAAATTCAGATTCGGAGAAAAATTAAGGTGAGAAACTGCAATCAGAAAAAGCCAAAGTTTAAAAGAGGTCGCTAAGGAAGAGGGCAACTGGAAATTTAAAAGCTAACTATTAAAAATGTATGGAAAGTATGATAAGCTCGCAAAATGCCCTCCAGCTGAAGACTGTAATACTGAAGAAATGGTAATGGAACTAAGTATTATACATCTAGCAAACCACTGAAATTTCCAATAAGCAAAAAAGAATTGCAAAATTTTAACGGGTTTGAATCTAGAAATTATCGAGCTAATCTTTACGCATAAGTACTTCACAAATACCGAATGTAATGAGCTATTCTCTTAAAGGTTTAATTACCTAAGCTCAAGATCTGGCTCAGCAAAACTTTGTAAACCCCATTGGTCTAGCGTGGTGTGCCAAACACTGTTCAAAAGTTTCACCGACAATGGAGCCCTTGAGGTCATCGAAGAAAAGAAATAGAAATCGTCCAGCTCAAATGAATGGTTCTTCCTATACACTGAAGTACTTTGAGCCTTCCATAATTTTAACTCAGCAAAGGATTGAATGCAACTCCTTAGTAGGAGGGAACAGAATGATGCCGTCTCCTATCCTTCAAAAATCTGCTCAATTTTCTTGGCTATTGCTGTACAGTAATAGATTTAGACATGAATATGAAATCATGAATGTAGATATGCATACTAAACTACCAGATAAAACAGCACATGTGATCAACCGTAAATTAATCGGTGTCAATAATGATAATATCAGACTATGTGATGTTTTACTGAAAAGACTATGATTTTTAATTGTTTTTAGATTTGTCTCTGCCGTTTGAGAATCAGTAACCAAAAAATACCGCGTGTATGAAAATTTTTGCTGTGAAAGTACTCCGACAGTCTAACTAAATTCTGTTGTTTTCTGAAGAAGCGCAGTGAAATTGCTATTTCACCTAAACTTTTTCTTTTCTGGAGTCCTCTGATACTCTTTTAAATGTTTTTTTGATGTATGTAAAAAAAATTATATTTAGCTGCGTTTGAGTGGGCAGTAATTCCAAGGTTAGATGAACGAGGCTTCAACTTCCTCCTTTCCTATGAAGTATTTCCATCACTCCAAGGACGGCTGCCCATACTTCTCAACTATGATAAGCAACCTTAACTTGATTGTTTACGGAGAAATGACAATATGGAAGGAACGAGTATTTGAATTGGAGTTACGCGTCCCTGAGTGCCACAGCTTAAAGTTTGTTTTTCCGATCCAGAAAGTCCCCTCACGAATTTGTTGGTATTTTAAGTGACGTCCTCCTGGCATATGCAGCGAAGGCACTTCT